AAATGAAAAATAATTTCCTACAAATGTCCAAGTGATATTTTCATATTTCTTTATATGTAACATTTACAGAAATACATAGAACGAGTTTTTTGTTCTTGTTTGATTCATTCTCAAAAGAAGAATGACAGAAACCAACCATAGTGAAAACTCGAAATAACGAAACAACGATGGTGAAAACTCGAAATAACGAAACAACGATGGTGAAAACTCGAAATAACGAAACAACCAACGATGGTGAAAACTCGAAATAACGAAACAACGATGGTGCAAACTTGAAATACCGAAACCACGATGGAAAAGGTCGATAGTAAGATGGTAAAAAGTCGAAACCACGTTGATAAAAAGCCGAACGTACGATGGTGAAAAGTCGAAATAACAAAACCACGATGATCAAATGTCGAACGTACGAGGTTGAAAACACGAAATGATATCGAGTTTCACCAGCGTGGCTTCTTAGATACGACTTTTCACCACCGTACTCTCGACTTTTCATCATCGTATCTTCCACATTTCCCCAGTGGTTGTTATTTCGACATTTCACCATCGTATTTTTGTTTGTATTTTTTATTATTTTGAGTTATGTTTGTTTCGCGATGGCCCAAACAGGACGCCGTACTATATTTATTCATGAATTATTGTTTAACCAAGTTATCCACGCTGATATTGCCTAAAGACAAGCAACAAATCATCGAGAATTGTGTAGACAACAATGATGTATAGCAATATCTGGCTAATATATGGAAATGCCAAACAGAAGAATAAGAATGCTTACGGAAATAACAAATATATTATTTTAAAGCGTCTTTTAAATCAACAGTCAAGTATCGTTTGGTTTCAGAACTGATTTAGAAGGAAACAAATATCACCCCGTTATAGCTGCTATTTCCTTTATTATATAAAGTGTCATTACGTACTTGTTTTGTTTTGTATGTGCTGCTTCATTTTTAACGACGATCAAACGATGTTTCGTTTCATCTACTGAGTTGCATAAAAAAGTTATATGGTAGTTTTGTATACTTATTTCAGCAATATATATAAGCAATATTAACTATACAAATTTGCAGAAATGTATTGAATACCCGATTGTTTACATCTGATTGATTTTTGATTATTATCACAACTTTGGTAGTCTGTAAACAACTGAAAGATGAAAAGTAAAAGTTGAAAAGTTGTGCTTTCCGAAATTGTTTTCGTTTTTTTTTTTTCGTTTTTGTTGTTGTTTTTTTGGTGTTTTTTTTGTTGTTGTTGTTTTTGCCTGGGATACTTGATGTTTTGGTTGTAACATGATTCAAACCCAGGTCCTTATTGCGTTATGTCAGGTTCCATGTGGTATCGATCCACTTACGTTGATTCTTAGACGAGACGGACGCAACAGATATTGATTTATTGTCACGGTACTAAACAAAATATTGACAATTAAATTAAATTAAGCAACTTTTAATTTTCACCTACCCTAGATTTACACGGAACAAACTCTCGGATAACAATCAAATTTAAAAGTAAAGTAAACCATTGTTTGGTAAATATATATCGGCATATTTTGATGCAAAGTTTCGGCAAATTTTGATACAAAATTTGCCACTTAATTTACTCAAGCAAGTATACAGAATTTCCAAGGTACTAAGTGCACACTTTCTTTTGTAACTGAGTTCGAGTGCTATGGCTGTTCCATTTATGTGTTTGTTCTTTTTATGTGTGATGTTCCGTTTATATGTGATATTCCGTCTATGTGTGATGTTTCATTTATATGTAATGTTCCTTTTATATGCGTTGTTCTTTTTATGTGTGCTGTTCCGTTTATTTGCGATGTTCGTTTAAGTGTGCTCTTCTTTTTAATTTGCTGTTCATTTTATGTGTGATGTTCCGTTTATGTGTAATTTTCATTTTTTTCTCTGTCGTTCTTTTAAATGTATGTTGTTCTTTTTATGTGTGCTGCTCCATTTATATGCGATGTTCCGTTTATGTGTGCTGTTCCATTTATGTGTGATGTGTCGTTCATGTGTGATGTTCCGTTTATATGTGATGTTCCCTTCATGTATGGATGGGTCTTTTATGAGTGCTGTTCCGTTTATGTGTGATGGTCCGTTTATATGTGATGTTCTTTTTAAATTTGCTGTTCCGTTTATGTGTGCTGTTCTTTTATGTGTGGTGTTCCGTTTATGTGTGATGTTCCGTTAATATGTCCTGTTCTTTTAATGTGTTATGTTCTGTTTATGTGTGATGTTCCATTTATATATGTCTTGTTCTTTTTTATGTGTTATATTCCGTTTCTCTGTGATGTTCCGTTTACGTGTGCTGTTCTTTTTATGTGTGATGATTTGTTTATATGTGTTGTTCCGTTTACATGTGCAGTTCTTTTTATATGTGCTGTTCGTTTTGTACGTGCTTTTCTTTTATATGGCGTGTTCTTTTTATATGTGCTGTTCCGTTTATATGTGCCGTTCTTTTTTATACATGTTGTTATTTTTTATATGAGCTGTTCTTTTTTGTGCGCTATTCCGTTTATATGTGATGTTCTTTTTATATGCGCTGTTTAGTTTATATGTGCTGTTTAGTTTATATGTGCTGTTCCGTTTATGTGTGCTGTTCCATTTTTGTGTGCTGATCCATTTATGTCTGATTTTTCGTTTTTGTCTGACATTCCTTTGAATAGATATTGCATCATTCTTTACAAACATATAGGTTTAACTTTATGGAATAAGTACCACGCTTGTTGAGATATATAACTTTTTGTTATATATGTTTTGTCTGTGATATTTCATAAATATTGTTGTGTTTTATATGCAATGTTTTGTTTTACAGGCATTTTCTTTTAATTTTTATGGGCCTTTTCTTTTCATTTTATCACGTTAGACGTGATTAAAGGTACTTACCATTACTTCTTATCATGGGTTGCACAAATCACCGCTAAATTACATGAAAATTGCAGAGTAGCTTTGATTGAGTCTGTACGTGAGTGATAATGAATAAGTGCAACATCGGCTTGAGCGGTACTCAATTCTTTAACGTACTAAAGCTATTTTAGTGTTAGATATCTATAGTGGCATACTTCTACCACGACATAACAAATAATAAGGGAAACTACCACCAGGCGGTAAGAAAAAATGTTTCCTTACTTACTTCCCTTTAAATTCTTTCAACAACGTATATACACCGGTACAAAATGTCGAAACTACTCTCAACAAGCGTGGTACTTATTCCATTAGTATGTGGATATGATATTTTAATTTCGAACTTATATACATGTACAAAGTAAAATTAAAAATGTGTGTATGTATTCGTATATAATAAACATAATTAAAACGTTTTTTTTTTTCTCTAAAAATCCTTTCTTCATATCATTTTTTTCCTAATTGACGTATTGTAAAAAATTATATATTTATAACTGATGTGTAATTTTAACGTTTGTGAAGATTTCGATAATATTTTAGGACCCCGCAGTACAATCACGCAAGAACGTGCACACACGCATATTAAAGAGATACACAGGCAAAATTTTCATTTCTTCGTTTTGAATTTTTCATTAATTTATCTGTAAATGACCTCAAAATGAATACCCTAGGCAGTCACAGGAACAAAACTTTTCTTCTTATAAAGAATAAAATGGTGGTTTCCTAACCTGACCCACGTGTCACAGTGATTTCTGTAAACATTAAAGAAAATGTCGAATTAATAATTTAGGTTTGTTACAGTCAAACTTTATCCATAATATCTGTTATTGTAACTTCAAGGGTTTGTTCAAGTCACATTACTAGTTTTAAAACTACTCGGTGATTCTGTCGGCGTCTAAATTTTTTTAACATAGTTAGATATATTTACGCTTCAAACCCAAAATGTATAGCATTTATACAGAAATTCATGCTAGGACATTTACAAATGGCATTAATATACTGCTAAAAGCTCGTTGCATAAGCATGCATTCCGTACTTATTAAAATTTTCCATTACGTCATTAAATATAAAAAAACCCATTGCCAGCTATAAACTAAGTGTGTACAACTTTTCAAGGTTAAAATGATACTAAATTTGTAACAGATGTTTCAATGTCATGCGTTGACTAACTTTTTTATAATAATTCATCACAAAACCTCTAGGTTCTCACCGCTGTTGGTTCAAGTCCCGCCAGAGACTTGGATTCTATGATTTTTTCATTGAAGCAAGCTATCTCCAGAAAGTGGTTATACTCGTTAGCCCTGGAATCATGGATCTTCTATCACCAGTAAAGCTGAAAGAAAGTCGGAGTATTACATTTACTGTGTTATTGCGACGTAAAACCCGACCAAAAGTATCGTAAAAAAAGTCATTTGATATGAAATCGTATTTGTGTCGTCTGACCGTAAAACTAAACCCATGGAAGTCGTGTCAGTTTATATTTATTTTAGTCAAATAAGCAGTTAGGCTTTTTAAACTCCTTCGTCTGGGTTTTACTTTTTTATTCAACAAAACAACTTGGCTCCAGGACGCTACCGTAACTAATAGAATTAATGTTAATTTTTTACCAAATTTGTGTTGTTTGGTCGTAAAACTAAACTTATTGTTATCTTTATATCCTAATCCATGTTTTGCATTACTGAGATCATTTCTACATTGAAGCCAAAGACATCATTTAAACAACCATCTGATAATAATAGTAAAACATCTTAAGTTGTCTAGGTTGTTTTCATCGGTGACTTTGCTTAATTTCATGCGAGCTTATATAATTATGTGATTTGTGTTTGAAATAATGCACGCACTGACGTACACCTTGCCCCCACCCCACATATCAGTATAACTGGAAAGTTTTAACGCCAAAGTTAAATCTTAAAACCCTACCAAATAAAACACTATGGGCCATGTTGACCTGGCCGGTGTGACCAGTACAGCTAGCATTACAAAGTTTGGTGTCACCCAACCAAAAAAGTGTGTCATTGTGTAATAATTTCTTCATTTCATAACGAACTGCAAGGTGAAGGATTCAGTAATAAAAAAAAGATTAAAAATTCCGCTATCTGTATGTCCCACAATTAAAGTACATTTGTATTATATAAATCATTGTATGGTTAACATAATTAGATGACTTGAAAACAGCAATTAGGAAATACATAAGGTAAGTAATTTCATATAGTTTTTATTTATTTTATTAATAAGAAATTCTTTCATGACAATCTTTACCTGACGTTTACAACTTAAATGACAATCAGGATAAAATGTGATCACCCCGAACCTAACTAAAAATTAGAATATTGCAGACCGGTTTTTTTGAGTCTTAATGAAGATATAATTAAAAACAAAATCCCCCACGCCCCCCCTTTTTAAATTGGAATACAACATTAATAAAAAAACACTATTTTATGGGGGCGTACGATCAGAAATATAAAAAAGAAAATTGAGAACAGTGTAGTAAATGTGTATTGCTTCTCACTGTCCAAACCCTTTTTTGAAGTCTACTGGGATATTGATTATAATTTTTATAATTGATGTTTGCTGCTGCTGTTGTTGTTGCTTATCATCATCTTCATCATCACTTTTATGGTTGTTGTTGTTCATCGTTAACATCATCATCATCATCATTATGCCATAAAATGAGTAATTAAAATATGAACTTGCATAATCTGTCGTCCGCTTTTTGTGGTTACTAATAACCAGTATTCAATGGGGGATATCAATCTGACTAAAGTTCAGATGTACTTATTTCTTTTATGACGTTCAGATTTCCCGTGAAAGCTATTTTAGCCATGCACTCGAACATATTAGAAGAAGTATCAAAATACTGTTACTCCTGAAAGTTCAACGAATTGATGATTTTTTTAGAAAAAAAATATTTGATGTATTTTTTTAACAAATCAACTTGAAATAATACAGTCAATTTTTGATCGGCAAGGTTGTTCTGCCAGTTTACCTGCTGGCTATATGGACAAGGCCTTGTTTGTTCTAAAATCGTGAAAATTACATACTCAGTATTTGTTTTCAAAGGGTTAAAATTAGATCAAAGCCGATGATTGACTGTTTGAAAGGCCACCGAGTATTTGGTCATGGTCAGATCCGAAAGCGGAGCGTTATTTAGAGATGATTTTAATCAGATTGTGGGGGGATATAAAATTCAACGACTGTACTTGTCTCACAACTCGATACCGATCATTTAAAAGTGCTTATTTTTGAAGGTCCGAAGAATAATGCGGATATCACCGTACACAATCATCTTGGCGGTTACGCTTACCTCGTGTATTGAGTTCACATCCGGGTCATGCAGTGAAGGTCAGTCATGCACGACGTCAGACGGGAACGCTGGTACGTGTTTGAGTGGACGCTGCCTGGTTATGTTAAATATTGACGTCAGGGACAATCTGACGTTTACAATCACAGTAAAGTATCCGGAAGCAAGTCTACAAGTATGTATTTTGAAAATACGTTCGCGCTTAGTATTTTCACTACACCAACGTTAGTATTTTATAGTTCAGGAACAATATACTAACGTTTTGAAATTTTAGTGGAAATGCATGCATGTTTACATAAGAAAGGTGAGGTGAGGTGCAGAAGGAACTTGATTATCTTTGTAAAAATAAATACCTTGCTTGTTTATTGTGTACCCATAGTCATGTGTGAAAACCCTGAATAATATGTACGTTTTATTTTGTCGTTTGCAGAAACCTGGCGACGGTAGTCTATTTATTAGAGGTAATGGCCTCGGTTTGAATTGGATTAAGGGGAAGCAACTACAGAAGACTTCGCAGGACACGTGGCAAATACAGATCGATTATCGTTCCTCTATAGACGGTTTTCAATGCATGGAATGCCAAGATAAGGCGTTCCTTGATAACGGAAAATTACAGTATCGTGTTCTAGTAGACGACTTTGATGACATGTTGGGGGCAAACTTTGCAGTATCTTTGCCATTGGCAAAATCATCCAGTTACTTTAATTCCAAACCGGAAATCGTTGTGTACCCTTGGTTCTATTCAACATCTAGTAGTTCTGACCATATTATTGTAGAATCACCGCAAATTGGCGGCAATAGAAGCGTTTCTATAATATTCCCGCCAAGTTTTAAGGAAAACACATACAAAACATATGCTGTATTGTTCGTACCTGACCTGATTTCCGGTTATTCCGAAATTAAACCCTATGTATTTGAAGGACTGATGCTTGAACACAGTGTCACTGAAGAATTTGTAGTAATTGGATTCTCAGATTACAACTCTCGCCGCACCACACTGCTTACAACTCCCGTTGGTTCGGAAATGTATTGTGCAAGTGGAACGTATTCTAATCGATGCAATAACTGTTATCCTAACACAACAATCGAGTACACCCCCGCCTGGTTCCAAGTCCTCAAAGATAAATGTGGGTACCGGTACTACACTGGCGGGAAATTAGACGACACGATAGATTTCCTGTTAGACACAGTGTATCCACGAGTGCAAAACTTGTCGATTAGTAGACTATCGACACAACGTGATAACATTGGGTTCATGGGATACTCTCACGGAGGTTTGGCTGCCTGTCACGCGGCATGGACGCGGCCTAAAAGGGTTGGCTTTGCGGCGTGTATGTCTTCTTCGTTCTGGTGGCCGTTTAACAATGTCACGTGGACAACATGCGATTTTAATTTCATTAATAGAACAGTAAAGGTAACGTAATGACGTCCTTGATCTTTTGATAAGACAGATATTTCAAAATTTATCAATTAAGATCACATTATCTTTAAGTTTAAGTCACGTTCTGAAAATAACCAAATTATGTAAAATGTAAAAACAAATGTACTTTATTTGGTGTTCGGTGATTTCCTAATGATTAAATATTAATATTATGAATTTAATAAATCGGTTACATTTGCGTTAACAGAACTGATTAGCAATTTAATTGTTTAATAATTCAAATTCGAAATGTTATAACAGTTTTAAAACGATTTGATTTTGCTGAAACAAGGGACGAGGTTTGGCAATTTTAATTATGAAAATAGCATACTAAAAGGTTTTCAATATCTAAGTATTATAAATATGAAATGATCTGGTATTTGATTTATATGGGCCATTTTTTATTTAGTCGAACTATGAAATCCAAAATAAGTGTTTTATAATGAAGATCATTATTATAATCTACTTTTTTCTGTGCAACACATACGCCAAGAGAAAACGTTTATTATAGTTAAACCTGTGCACAATGCACAAGTCTTAATATAAAAGATAAGAAATACAATATCTGATGTCAATGATTCAAGTGCATTTGTACTGAATTAACTTAAAAATAAATTGGTAAATTAGTGTAGATTTTTACATGCAATTTTATTTAAGAGTGTTTTGTTTACGTTTTTTTCAGACCCCACTATTTTAAAAAGTGACCCCCACAGAAATTTAACCGATGCCCGGGGGGAGAGGCGAAAAAGCCCTCATTGATAAAAGGTCGCCATAGAAACCGGAGTACCCTTTAACCCTGATTACTTCACCATGACAAAACCTCTGGGTGAAAAATTTCCCCGATGAAAAACCCCTAGTACTATTACGGTTCAAAAAAAGGGATGGAGGGCTTGTCTGTTCTACTTCCGGCCAGTTTCCCCGAAAACCACAGCCTTCCGGTTTGCCGTAGTTGGATGAAAAGATGATTTTAATTTTTTTTCTTAATAAAAAAAATTTTTCCATGGTATGGGTGTTATTTTTTGGGGCATGTTTAGGATTTTAGGATTTCGCCCGGTTTTACTATCCTTTTAAACCTGGTTTGGTTAGCAAAAGGCATGAGAATCCTGTAAGATAAAGTGAAGTGCAAAAGTTAAACACAAAACTCGTGGAGAATAGATGGGTTTTCATATTTTGCCCAGACACATTTGTTAGTTTCCCGCTAGGCAGTAACAGAAATGTTGCAATATTTATGTCACGGCGCTAAGCACGAACACATTAAATAATAATTCCGTTTCAAGTGAATTCCATTTCAATATATCGAATTACATTTTCAAACTGTAAATTGCATGATTGGATGCACATTTGTCTCATAAATTCATTATTCAGGTATGATATGCTATGCACATCACCAATAGTACGCAAACTTTACTTTAACTAATCATTTAAAAGTTAAGTGTGCATGTATATATGTGTACCCTATAAGCGTTATGAAAAATATTGAATAATGAATGGAACTGGTGTCAGTCAGTAATTTGATGTTTTGAGATATGCTTTTGTTGATATGTTATGTGATTTGTAAATCTTTGGGGAAAAACAGTTATGATTATTCAAGTGAATGACACTGTCCGTGAATTTTACGAATGACCTTCGTGTAGGCGTTTAATATAACGCCCAGAGAATAGTATAGCTTATACCAGGAACAACAATGCTGGCAACAGCGCTTCCAAGTGAAACATGCAACACAAAGTAGTTCTCAAAACAGCTTAACTAAAAACAGCTTAAAAGAAAATGATAACCATAATTTGACTTTTGCCATTCTTCGGGGATAAAAAGCTCAGATAGGGACTTTGGTATTTCTGGAATTATCTTACCACGTCGACTCTTTTGGCCAGTAAGCTCGAAATTCTGGTGGAAGATCAGATTAAAGTTCCTTGTACAAAATTTGTGCTGGAGCTTCTTGACTTTTGCTTGCTTTGTATTTTATTCTAGCCACCGACTGTAGCACCTTCACTCGTGAAATGTCTGGTGTGTGCAGATTATGCGCAGTCTGCTTTAAAAAATCATTTATCCCAGTTATGGTACGCCCTTTACAATTTCTATTGTCACATGTCCAATATATTTTTTTCTGATTTTTTATCTCTTTATGTCTTTACAGAAACTGTAACATTCGAAACTTAATTTTCTACCACCAACTCAAGAAAAAATCTGGTTTGCTATCCATTAAAGCTTACTTCAAACTATATGTTGTATAGATTATGGAGTAAGAAATTCCTTGTAAAACAGTTCACTTAAACTTTTTATTTTTCATATGACGCTTCGACCGTAACTAAAGGTATTTTTGACCGAGCTGATCATTATTCATTTTACCATTGTAGCCATCTAATCAAGACCACCTGATACTTTGTGTGGTGGGGAATTTCAAGTGTTGTAGGATTATACGTGTATATATAGTGTTCTACGAGATGTCTTTCGACGAAATGCCGTGCACTGTGGATAATCGCTGTTAACGGAATACTAAGCAATTCCAAACGAATGATGAATAACACACAAGGGTTGCGTAGCACTGTCAATTGGCATACGGTTCCCAGTCCTTTCGGAATACATTCCTCAGGAACCTGGTATTTCTTTTGCTGCAACGGAGCTATTCTCTAATTTAAAAGTTTGGCAATATCAAGTTCAACCTCATTGACCTGTTTTCTTAGAGCTGGAACCAGTGTTGAGAATGCAACGACTGGAAACCTACATCCCCATTGAGTATACGGTAAAACTCTTCAGCGTCGTCTTTGGTTCGGATCGAGTGTTGGTAGATTGACCAGCTCTGGATAGGGAATGTGTTAGACTCGATCCAAGTTAATCTGATGTAGTTCACCAGTTGACGAAGTTCGTCTGTGTTGGCCAACACTGGACGAATATGGTTTGCTGACAGGAATGAAAGAACGAGTAGCTTCTTTATGTACTCCTAAATGGACATCCTTTCCATGCAGACGGGACCCAATTCTGTTGACTGAACGTGCCTCTACACGTCCTGACACCAGTGTAAACAATACCCCCTTTGACGTCAGCATTTGGGAAAACCTGTCGAATTGCACCAAGACGGCTGAAAATGTGGAAGTAAATAATATTTTTTTGTTTTTACAATAGAATTTAAGTAAGCCTATGTCAGCACTTAAAATAATAAGTCAGGTTAAGAAATAATTTATGTTGTAACATCATATATAAAATGTTTTTCTAAAGATTTATAGTGTCAGACTGTTCATTGTCATGTACAGAATCAATCAAACAGAGTCTACAATATTCATGCTTCCGAGGATTCACACATTTCCAGATTTTTTATATCTGATTCTTTTATATCTACAATGATCAAATTCGATCATTCTTACATAGAAAATTAGTTCTATATAAACATATATATTTCTTATATTTTATGTGTCCAATAAACTTCAAAATCTAGCACAAATTCCTATACGGAAATTAGCTCGCCCAAGATGTCACTATCTTTTGAAGGATATTGATGTAATCTTCCTCGCTATGTCGACTCATGAGTACGAAGAGTAAATGTATTTTTTTCGTATTCTTTCATGTTGGCGGATGGCTGTTCTTTGAAGACTGTTCGCTGAAGTTATGTTTGGACGCTGACCTTTGTCACTCATTGCTGTCTTAACTATGTCACGTGCTCAATGGAAGGTATGATGGCTAGCCCCTGACTCCGCCTTCAAGTAGAGAAGTGTGGGATCAGGCCCATGTGTGTGTGTGTGTGTGTGTGTTGTTAGTCATCTTCTGTAATCATCGCCAGAGCTTGTCAACTTGGCTAGGCACGGTAGCACCTCACGACATATGTTACATTGCCTTACGATTCCGCCTTTCTCCAGGGTTTTCAGATGACTGTACGCATGACCGTCTGATGAGACAACAAGTGGCTTAGTGCAGGTTGGCTGTAGTGTGAACCTGACATGTTGATCTTCTATGATGGATGTGGAGAGTGGCCCAAAGTCAGCGGTGTCTTCCACAATCTCAGTCTGTGGTTCAGGATCAATTGTAACACAAACACTGCCCTCGATGGCATCATCAAAGACAGTTTCTGGCACAACTGTAGGAGGTGTTGGTGGAGGTGGAATGTCTACAGACTCATTGAAGCCGTTGGTGTGATCAATAACCATGTCCACACAGCCTACATCATCATCTTTTGAACCAGTGTTAATGTAATGTGTTTGCAAGTATGAGTTATATTACATATAATATCATAACACGTAATTGTATTTGTTTCACATCTTTTTCAGATTTACCAAAGGTGACGAAAATACCATTTGAAAATACTATAGTTTATTTCACATGATAGCTAGAGCTGTATCGACGTCGTTCATTTCCAAAAGACAGGGTAAAAATTTGTCTCCGGTCATATTTTCAATGTACATGCACTTAAATGACCTCTAAACGTTACAGAATAGTGGAACTTTTGGTGTAGAATTATTCGATCACGACGATCTAACTTTACGGCTTAAACTTCTATGCAGACGACATTATCCTGTTACCGAACACCGCTGACGATCTCAAAATTTGCTTGAACAATTTTAATGAAATTAGAAATAATAAAGTCAAACATTTTTTTCATACATATAAACAAATTATAATTTTCTGAAAGTGAAAATTATCTTATTGTTTTATTGTCAAGTTGAGCTGAAATTACTAAATCTTTAAAAAGATTGACTGTTATAATCACCGTAGGGAACGTGTTACAGTATCGCGTTTTCCGGTTACAGTATAGAATTTTAAAGATGGAGGATTATTTGTTTGGAGGACAGGTAGTTGATTTTTATTCCGGTCCATACTACAAGTAGTTTAGTTTCTAAAAGATGTTTTGTGCTTTGCTTGTAAGGAACCGAATCCGGTATCTAGTCATATAATTCTTCAGACCCTGCACCGCAGATTTATCTCTATATTGTCTCATAAATGTGCAGATTTGACTACTAGTAGTATGGACCTGAATAAAAATCACCTACCTCTCTTCCCATAAATAATCCTCCATCTTGAAAATTCTATAC